GGTATAAATGTCTTTTGCTTATACACTAAAATACAAAATGTGACATTTTTTGCAAACCATCAAGATTATGACATTTTTTAAAGACATTTCCCAAAATTCGCATTTTTGACAATTTTCCCTTAATGGAATCATCTATATCTTTGATTACGATATGGAGCATAAAGAGTCTTTACCAATGGAATGATAATTGTGGAATCTTTCTCATGTTGTTTGCTTAACTGAAATTTGGTTGTCATTATGTATTTGGTTTACATGGTAAAAAGTTTGTATCTTCTACGCATGTGAAAATCTATCCGATGATCCAAAAATGCTAATCATAGGAATTATAATGGATCCATGAGCTCCAACAGCTTTAAAGTATTCTGCTGTTTGATCAAATCCTAAGAACATTATTAAATCTCGTGCAGCAAGAATGCTTGCTTATAAAGCCGAAAAAACAAAGTACTCTCGCTCGTTATTTCTGGTAGCTATTGTACTAGTGATATATGTAAAGACTTGACTAATCTACCCAACTAAGAGTGAGACTGAGATCAAAAGAGGGAGAGAGAATCATCTTCTACTTGGTGTCGTCCCTATCCTCACCGAGGAGTTGTCTTATCCAATCTCCTTCAAAGAATGTCCGTTTCTCATTTGCACCAAAATGATTCATATCTGTTTCAAAATTGGACTTGTGTCCTGCAGATGGAGAATGGGGAGAGCTCTGTTCAGAGAAGAGGAATATAGAAACAAATCAAACTGACTGTAATGCCTAAAGAGTAAAACTTTTACCTGTTGTGTTCGCAGTGGCTGCTGTAAGCTCGGTATGGTGGCCAAGTAAAGAACAATGTAGCAGCAGGGAATCCGAATCCGTATCTGTAGCCCGTTTTTCCCCTGATGATCCATAGACAACTGATTCCAACAATCCATCACAAAAGGATGATGGGCAATCCGATGGTGTCTGCTCTGTCAGAGGGGAATCAACTAAATTATTGTTTGACTCAAGCGCCGGCATTGGGTTAGAGTGTTGTGTTCCCCAATCGCCAGGCTCTTCTTGAGGGTCAAAACATTGGAATGAAGGGAGCTCCAACTTCTCAGCCTCCGCGTGAATGAGAGGCCCGGAAGGAGAAGAATAAGTAGCATCGCCAAGCAAATGGCTATCTGGTAGACCGTTGAACTGCTCTGAAGTAGTAGTATCGACGAAAGGATAGTTCCAGAGCTGAGCACTTTGCTCGTTTGTGTCATAACCAGCCATGGAAGGAAAAGCAGGTTCTGGTTCCCTAAAGCGTTTGCGGTTAGGCATGCAAGGAGATGACATCAAGTTGTACATATTAGGCTGAAAGAAACACGGTCTCTGCCTCATGAGGTTGCCTGCAGGAACACTGCGAAGCATTGACTGGTAGTAGGAGGAAGACTGGTTGAGTTGTAGGTACTTGAAATCCACTTCAGGGATCTCGACGCTGTCTGCCTCCAAAGATTCTTGACTGTGATGAGCATCGAATGAATCCGTGTTGTGACCACTTAGAGCAGCTGCATTCATGGCTTGCTCGCGAACATCATCAGGGTAGATGGGTAAGCCAAGTCGCTGCAGCCTCTTAAGCCTCGTGTTCCAGAAGTTCTTGATCTCGTTATCGGTTCGCCCAGGTAGCTGAAAAAGAAAACAAAGAAGATTAGAGAAAAAGTTGGTATCGGTAACC